ACAATGGTGTCAGAACCGACTACCCTTACTGCCCCACACATTTCAATGCCATTGATGGTATTTGCCTGAGCCCTACCAACTTAAAATAAGAGGGCAACCACAAAAGAGGTTACAAACTTTATAAAAGGGTTAAGAAAGAAATAATGCGATATTACTTTTATCATTTACTTAAAGGAGATTTTTTTAATATATAGATTAAGCCAGGGCTAAAAACGAGACTCCCATTAATAAATTTATAATTCAATTTAAAAAATAGACTTGTATTCCACAATTCAGTTAACTTTAGAACACATTCATGTGACTTTTGTGGGAAAGGCTAAGTGATTTTAGAGAAAAATAATTTGCAAACAGCCCAAGAGTGAACCAAATCTTACATCGAGTTGATAGCCTCATATGTACACCAAAAAACTGGCAATCATCTTCGAACACATTTAAGAGCCACAATGGCTCTTGATCACCGTAGATTAATTAGGCCTGGAAAAAAAATCAGGCCGAATTTTTTGGCGTTCGACAAGTTTACTTTACAAAATCATCCCAACAAATCTGGGTAAACCAACCTTTTATACCATTTATACATCACATATGAGGCACTGTTTTTATCATACAGGCCTCGGACAGAATGCAGTATTTCAAAATTTTGCAATACAAATTGCACTCATTCAATATTCGGGGCGATGGAGACACGCGTGGGCTTTTAGCTAAATCGTTAAAAAATTTGTAAAATCACTTATACGGCCAGCCGGGTCTTACTTTTGCAGTGCGAACTGTGGCGAATGTTTGAATGAACATAAATAGAGTTAAGCTCTAACATAATAAAGAATTTATTATGTTTATTTTTTATTTAGCGTAAAACGCTGTGGCTATATGGCCGGTAAGCCGTCAAGGTTTTGAAAACACTGGATGGACGGTAATCCTATATTCTCAGTAAATTTCACAAATTTATAACTTAAGCCAAAAAGATGACGAATATAATTTCTGTCCCCGTCAATCACTCTTACGTGCCTCTTAGGAGGAAACATAGCCTTTCTCCAGTGGGTTCAAAGGATCACGTCTGCGGACAATAATTGGTGTATTTCGATCCATGTCGACTACAGCAGGTCGCGGCAGCTGTAGAAGATATCTTTTTTCTGTTACCGCATTGGCTGCACACTCTGCGAGATTTCACCATTCCTTTTTATTTATTATGTCCTGATTATGGGGTTTGCGTTGCCGTTACTAAAGCCCAAAGCCATCGATGTCTCTGACGTACCGCTGTTTGATTTTCAAAAGTTTTTTAACAAAGAGGAAATCGGGAAAGGCGGTTTTGGCGCTGTTTTTACAGTAGATTATTACCCACGTGGCAGCGGGAATTCGCCGGAGAAAGTTGTCGTAAAAAAGGCACTTGGTGAGCACCTCGAAGACAATAAAAATTTTGTGAAGGAAGCGAGGATTCTCCAAGAGTTGCAGCATCCAAATATTGCCAAGTTTAAGGGAATCTGCACGACACCAGTAGCCCTAATTGGGGGATTGTGTAGAAAACGAAGACCCTGGTCGAAATTTTGTATAATTGAAGATATTGCTGTTTCTTACACATCTAAGGTCGAGATACCGGTTTCGAGATATTTATAAGTGATTTTGAGGGGGATCTTCGTTTATGGGTCTTAGGTCTTGGGTCTTCGTTTTGTACCCACCCGTTTTGTGATCGACACTTTGAACTTTTTTCAGCTCGACTGCCGGTCAAGGTGTTGGAAACACTAAATTACCGGCAGTCCTATATTCTCAGTAAATTTCACTTGACTTTTCTTAATCGACATATGATAGTTTAGTTTAGCCGGATTTTTTCGATTTGTGAAATTTACAGAGAATATAGTACTGCCGGTAATTTAGTGTTTTGGAAACCATGACCGGCAGTCGAGCTGAAAAAAGTTTTAAGGTCTTCTAGGTGTCACAAAACATGGTTTCGTCTTCTGAGCTAGCCTACAAACGGCAGACGTTTCTCCTCGTTCATCGCCGACGAGGGACGTTTCGCGAGGAGGAACGTCTGCGACTCAACGACAGAAATTCCATACTGATGACGCAAACTTTGTCCGGATTCCGGGCAGAAAAGACAATTGGTCGATGGAGTAGTTTCATTGTTTTGGCTATTCTTTACAAATGACAGACAAAAGACAAAAGGCTGCAAAGGTCAAAAGTAAACGCGATGAATCTCTAACAAAACAGTCAATATTTGTGGAATATAGTATTCTCTAGGAATAGCATTTGAGTTTTGCTGGAGCTCATTCGCAGATGAACAGAACGTTTTACCAAAATCGACCAGGAGAAACGTAAAATTGAACAAATTTGCATTTGGAACCCCATGACTACCGGACTTATTATGTAAACAATGATTTACGTCATCAGTATGGAATTTCTGCCGCTGAGGTTCTTCCTCGCGAAACGTCCCTCAGCGGCGATGAGCGAGGGAAAACGTTTGCCGTTCGCAGGCTACTTCTGAGCCCAGCGCAAACCAAACGCCCGACTT